CCAGTCCAGCACTCACGGAAGGCAATGACAGACCTCCCACTGATTTCAATGGGAGCAGAGCGAGCTGGGGTTTAATCAGTGTGGTACCAGCAGCAATAGCTCGTCAGCCCCGGCATTTCTGAATACATTAGAACATGTTGCCTATGCCCATAGGTCACATTTCATCTCAAATCACACCAATTTCACAATACGTGCACTAATACCACGAGATAATCGTTGTGACTGCTTCCATTTGGGCTGGAGCTTTACCTGATCAATAGCTGCAGTCAAAGCCCACCAGCAGGTCCCCAGGCCCTGCCACAGCAGGAGCAGAGCACTGGGAAAAGCCCCCAGCATGGCCATAGCCTTATTAATGATTCGGTGTCGAGAATAGAAATAAGAGTTAAATCTTCCCTAAGCTGCTCAGCTGCGCTCTGGTGGTGTACACATCCTCAGGCAGCAGCACGGGCTCCGTGCACACCCCGTGACACGGATAAGCAATATTTCAGCCCTGATAGTTTGCATATTCATCAGTCCTTTCAAAGCAGGACAGAGCTCGGCCTTTTCTCTCGCTGCCACGGCACGGAGGCGAGCGGAGAGCCGCACGGAGGAGGGAGTGCTGTGCACTTCCAGCAGCACCAGGGGCTGAAGAGAGGACAAAGCTGTGCTCCAGAGAGAAACTAATTATTCCTCTGGCAGCCACAGACCGTGGCCACCATCCCTGGGCTGAGCTGTGCTCAGAAAACAACAGCGTGGGAGCCCATCCTGGGTACTGGAATAAAGAGCAGGGCTCAGAGAGGAGCTGAAGTGGAGCACTGGGGGCAAGTCCAAGGCTGTAGTGGCAAGGCAGCCCTTTCCCATCAGCATTGTCACCCTGCAGAGGGTCACTCATGGGCAGGGCTGAGATGGCCGAGGGTCCATCCCACAGCAAACACCCACCTGCCTCAGCCTGGCCTGCCTCTGCGTGGCTGCGAAGATTTGGATGCTGGGGCAACCAGCCCAGGACAGAGCCCAGCCAGCTCCCAGCAGCCCAAGGACAGCAGCAAGCACAAGAGGAACTGGGGGAGCTGCCTTTTATTTCCAGGCATTTCTGTTTCCATCAGCTGTGTGGCATTACCCAGCCTGCTCTGTTTGCAGTTTTAACAAGGCACATGTGGTGAAAAACCCTTCCCGGGCAGAGCTTTCCTGTTTGGCCATTTCCAAAGGCCCTGGATGTGATGGCAGTAACTGCCTCCACAGGGTGACATGCCTGGAGCAGAAACACAGCTGTGAGAAAGACACATATCGAAGAAATAAATTATTCCAAAAGAGGTAGAAAGATTCTCCTCCATTCCTTACACCCTGAGCCGTGCCCAGCGCTCGCAGGGCAGAGGTGCCTTGCCCAGGGCCAGTGATGTTGGCTGCAATGAGCAGCTCTCCCTGGCACCGGCAGGCACCGGGAGAGCTCCCAGGTGCCGTGAGCCGCCCGCAGAAGGACAGTGGGAAAGCTCTGGAACACGAGGGAGCAGCGAGAGCCACATCCCCCGGGTGGCAGCACGCCAGGGTTACAAAACACGGACAGCCCGTGTCGCATAGCCGGGGTCAGTGTCACCAGCCCCGCCGGCTACGATTACACGGGCTGAGCCCAGCAGAGTCATTCTGCCTGCAGCCCTGGGGAGCTCATCCTGCCCCTGCCCCCGCTGCCCGGGCATTCCCAACCCTCTCCTCCCATCCCGAGCATCACACGGAATGTCTAAGTGGGGGGAAAAAAAAGGCTTGCTCAAGACCTGCTGCTTTTTCCACGCTGAGGCAGAAACAGCAATTATCTGGTTCAGTCTGGTGCTGCTGGCCTGGAACATGCCATGACAACGTGTTTCTCGTTTCAAAGCCTCTTTTGTACTAGGACACAGTTCAAGGGATCTTGCAATGCCTGCATTTGTAAACACGCCGCACTTGCAGCTACACGCTCCGCAGATGAAAGCCAAGGCGGAGCACCGGGGCACTTCTCCCTCCTGTGTCACAGCCGGGGACCGGGCACGGGGCAGCGACCCCGGGCCAGCCCGACCTGCCCCCGGGGCTGGCTAACCCCCAGCGCTCCTCAAAAGCCACGGCGCGTTCAGAAAAACGGAGACCTGGAAAAGGGGGGGGCTGATGGGGGGGTGAAAATCACAGCAAAAAAAAATGTGCGTCACTGCAGATTATTTTAGGCCCTGGTCCATGCATAATGCAAATAAGCAGCTCCCGGGGTACATGCCTGTAAAAACCATCCAGTCCCACGGCGCCCGGCCACGGGAGCTTTCCAAACAGGTGGTGAAAAGCTAAAATTATGTGTCTGTGTGTCCTCACCGGGGTTAGGAAAGGCCCTGGCTCTCAGGAAGGCTCTCCCCGTGCCTCCACGGGGCTGGTATGAAACAGGACCGAGACATTAAAAAATTCAGGAGCATTTCTTTCCTTTTGAGGCAATCCTGCGCTCCCACTCAGCGAACCTCACTCGGCACCTCCACGACACCCTTTGATCTGCCTGACCCCGCCGCCCCCTCCCACCCGCTCTTCACGCACACTAACTTCATTTATTTATTTTTTTTTTTCCCAAAATCATTGTATCCTCCTTGTCTGACTTCAAGGAGTCGCTCGGGAAGCCCTATTTATGGGTTGAAATGCTGCTGAAAGAGTTATTGCTGTGTTATTCAGCTGTTGTGCCAAGCCTGCATGGGGATCGGGTTTCTGCTGAAAGGGTGCCAGGCACGTCTTTTTCCAGGAACCAGCAGCCGTATTTAGCCTCCGGCTGCACATGAAAGACTGCAGTCGGAAACGTGACATTGTGTCAACATTTGAGGCAGGTCAGAGCTGGGTGAGACCATGAAAACAAGCCCGGGAACTCAGCACACCCCGGCGGGGCGGGCGGCACGGGCTGTCCCGGGCTGGCACCGTGCCGGGGGTCTCCATCCATCCCTCCATCCATCATCCATCCCTCCATCCATCCATCCCTCCATCCCTCCATCCCTCCATCCATCCCTCCATCCATCCATCCCTCCATCCATCCATCCCTCCATCCATCCATCCATCATCCATCCCTCCATCCATGCATCCCTGCATCCATCCATCATCCATCCATCCATCCATCCATCCATCCATCATCCATCCATCCATCCCTCCATCCATCCATCATCCATCCCTCCATCCATCCCTCCCTCCATCCATCCCTCCATCCATCCATCCCTCCATCCATCCATCCATCATCCATCCCTCCATCCATCCCTCCCTCCATCCATCCATCCCTCCATCCATCCATCCATCATCCATCCCTCCATCCATGCATCCCTGCATCCATCCATCATCCATCCATCCATCCCTCCATCCATCCATCCATCATCCATCCCTCCATCCATGCATCCCTGCATCCATCCATCCCTCCATCCATCCATCCATCCCTCCATCCATCCCTCCATCTCTCCATCCATCCCTCCATCCATCCATCCTTGCATCCATCCCCTCCTCCCGGCCCGGGATGGATGGAGAGCCAGGGCTGGCAGCTCTGGCAGGGCTGCTGGTGTCCCCACCCGGTGCCCCCACAGAACTCACCTGTCCCACTGGCACTGGGCCAGGGTGGCAGAGAAAATTCCCAGCCCATAAAAGTCTTTTGCTTCCTGAGTAAATATTCTCTCTTCCACTTTTTTTTTGCAGTTTTTTTCCTCTGAGGCTGAGGATCTGGAAATCCTGCAAGTTGTCCCACCACAGGACAAGGGGAGGGGGGGGTGTCAGAATATGAGGACCAAAGGGGAATGAGAGCCATGGAAAGGAGCCAGAAATCAGAAATCCAGGGGGTCCTGAGGCTGGAGACACCCCAGCACTGAGCTCCAAATGCTGTCCCCAAATGGGGTTTCACAGTCAGCTTCAGGAAGATCAATATTTAGCCCTAATTAAAGCAAACATAACATCAACGCTGGGATGTGTGGAGGCCCCAAACACATTAAACCAAACAGCATTTTTTTCTAGTATTACTTAAGCTGAGGTTTCTTTAGCTCTAACCACAGTCTAACAGGAGCATCGGCCTCTCCATGTGGGGTCCTGGAGGTGCTCAGGACTGAGCAGTGCTGCCCCAGTCAGACACTGAAACCACTCGCCACGTTTTGTGATTCATCTGCACAGTGAAAATCCCAAATCCCCCCTCAGAACTGCCCGTGCCCCATCCACACACAGGCAGCACCGCTGGGAAACTGAGTCCTCCCACCCATCCCTTTGCTTCACCCCTCTTTTGCCTTTGGGGGACGTCTGGGGTCGTCGTCATTCCATCTGGAGCCCAGAATCCAGCAGCACTGCTGGGGAGGTGGGAGGGAGCCCGTGGTGGGATGGGGACCCTCCCCCACCATGGGCTGCCCTCGGGCTCATTTTGTGGCACTGGGAGTAGAGGCTGCTCCACCACCCCCAGTGCCAGCTGGAATTCCCAAATCAGGGACACCTGGGGCTGGCAGGGATCACTCCAGCAAAGGCAGGACCTGACCCTGGCACTCCTCAGCCCCAGGGGTCTGCTGGGCACCAGCCCTGGCAGTGCCCGGGCAGCTCAGACACAGGCTGAGGTGCTGAAGTAAAAGCAGCTTGCAGCAAGTGCATTCTCCTGCAGGAACTGGGCAAAGCCTGGGGAGATGCTCCATCCTCCAGGGTGAGGGGCTCCTCTGCACAGAGCTTGGGGCCCAGGAGCCAAACGCCAGCCACAGGGAGCACAACGTGACATCAGGAGAGCAGGAAAGCTAGCCAGGCTCTCCTGGCACCTCCCTGCAGTCTGGAAGGAAAAAAAGCCCTGAAGGTGCCAAGGGAGTTAAAATAAATAAATATCCCTGGTGACACGGGTAATGGGACCCTGAGCTTCAGGCAGTGATGGCAGAGGAGCTGTGGGGGGAGCAAGGAGAGCCCTGCTCCCTCCTGCACCCCAAAATCCCTCATCCCTCCTGAACCCTGAAATCCCTCATCTGCCCTGTGCCATCCCCTGCACGACCACGAATGACCCTGCTCAAACATTTCAAAGCACAGGAGGCAAACCCTTATCTTCCACAGGAAAAGAATTATTTTATTAAGCATTTTTAAACAGCTACTTAACATTTACTCAAGATAAAAATATGTACAATATCCCACCTTGAAGGCAGCTCCAAAATATAAACACTGTACCTCTCCCGAGAGAAAAACGGAATATTCTTCTCTTCAAAAAAAAAAAAGACAACCCAGAAACAAGAATACATTCATATTTCTCACTTCTTTATGCTCAAGTAGTTATACAAATAATAGACATCTGAAACCTTTTAACTTTTAATATATTTATATAATATATATATATTTATAACAGGATTTTACAAATAAAGGCAACAACTGTATACCAAAAAAACCCAAAAAACCAACAACAAAATAAACGTTAGAACACAATCTGCAATCAAGCATAGTGCATCTCAACAGCTGGTGCAATGGGAGGGCGACATGAGGATCCAGACAGGGGTTCTGCTCACCAGTAAGGAAAAAAAAAACCTACCAAAGAGCACTGCCTTCAGCAGTGACGTTTGGGGTTTTTTAATGAAAAAGAAGCTGAACTGGAGAGGATGTTCCTCTGCGGAGGAAGCCCCTGGCAGCTCACAGGACCAGTGTCACCACCCGAGCCCTCTCTCCTTAACGCGGGGATGTGAGCCAGCTTTGCCAGGAGGAATCCAGCTGCTCAAACCCTGCTGGCTCCTGTGGAAATCCCAGCCTTGCCATTGTCCCAAGGCACTGCCAGGGGCACGTCCAGCAGGGATGGCACTGCCAGCTCCCTCCGGCAAGAGCCCGACCTGCCCGGCCGGGAGCGCCGCGGGGATTGCCCGGGGAGAGGCTGGAGCCGGTGCCAGCAGGGAAACCAGCCCAGGGACAGCTCCTCCCGACCCGGAGATCCCGGGCACGGCTCCTCCCGACCCGGAGACCCCGGGCACGGCTCCTCCCGATCCCGGGCACGGCTCCTCCCGATCCCGGGCACAGCTCCTCCCGACCGGGAGATCCCGGGCACGGCTCCTCCCGAGCCGGCCCAACGTAGCAGCTCGAGTTACAGGAAGGGCACAGGTTAATTTATTTATTAGATGAACGCCATGGAAAGCTCCAAGCAGCAGCTACCTTTTATTTGTTAAAAAAATACCTATCTAAAAGTAAAGGTGTGGAGAGAAACCTCTCTTAGGTCTGCCTGACCTGTGTGTGACCAGGCAGTGACTGCTGCCCTGCTCCTCCTGGTGACATTGCTGCCCCTGCAGTGACCAGTGCCCTGCTCCTCCTGTGCTCACAGTGGCATTGCCACCACCACACCACAGTGATGTTTCCCTGCTCCTGCTGTGCTCGTGGTGGCATTGCCACCACCACCAGTGACACTGCCCTGCTCCTGCTGTGCTCGTGGTGGCATTGCCACCACCACCCTGCCACGCTCGGGGTCACTGGGGCACCAGTCCAGCCAGATGAGCCAGCGGGGCCGTTGCCTCCAGAGCCGCTCAGGGAAGTACCATGGTTTATATTCACTTATTTTGTATTTGCAGACCCTAGAACCAGGTCTGCCCAATGGAATATTTCTTCACAGTTTTGCAATAGATTCGCAGCTGACCGAGTCAACTGTTGTTCTGTAGATGTGGAGAGGGAAGAAGGGAAGGGGCCAAGCACAAAACCCTTCTTTAATCTTTTGGAAGCAGTTGTCAATCGCTAACCTGGGCACATCCTTCATCCCTCTCCAAGCTACCTGACAAGTCAGAGAAAAGGGATTTAGCTTCCTACGCACAGTGAACCTTGTCCCCACACCTCAGTCCAGCCAATATATAAAAGTGAAACAGTCTCTCAAACTAAAAAAAAAACAGAAAAAAAAAAAAAAAGAAAAACCAGTCACACTGCGCTCAGTCTTTGGTTTCCAAGTTCAAAGGAGGAATCTGCTTCAAAGCTTGAAGCAGAGCCGAGGAGTCGATGGGGGAATGGGCCGGTACAGGAGAAGGGAGTCTCTGGGGCATCAGCAGAGGGGGGGAGATTTTGTCGGGGTTCATGAAGCCCGTCAGAGCTGCGGCAGAGGCCGGCAGGCTGGGGTACAGCACGGGGACCGAGGCCGGGTACCAGCACTTCTCCAGCATGGGCAGGTAGGCGGTGGCGGACGGCGGGATCAGGTAGAAAGGCAGGCACAGGGGAGGCTGGTGAGCGTGGGGGCCCAGGAAGCTGCTGGAAGAGCCCATCATGTCACTGCCAAAAGGGCCCTCGTCCTGCGGCAACTCCAGCCTGCTCCTTTTGGCCGGCGGGTCCTCAGTCTCTTGCTTAATAGAGCTTATTCTCTCCTGGACAGCGTACTTGAGGTCGGTATCCTTTTTGAAATAGGGCTGCTCCGCTTTGGAGTCGCTTTTCTCCAGCTCGCCCCCGTACCCGCTGTCCGTGTCCGTGTCGCTGCCGCTCTGCTCCCCGCTGGAGTGAGCGAATGTCCGCTGGATCACGGGCACGCAGTTCTTCCCGTGGCCCTCGCCCGCCGCGCCCAGCGGCGCCGGCTTCTCCTTCAAGTCCAGCATTTTGGGAGGGATGTCCCCGGCCTTGCGGGCGGCCCCGCCCTGCAGCACCTCGCTGGCCATCCGGTGCAGGTGGCTGACCAGCTGCGACGACTTCAGCTCCTTGCCGTTCTCGTGCTTTGCCAGGTATTGCAGCATTTCCTTGGCACACATCTGGAAACCGGATCGAAACATTTCCTGGCTGGAATCAAGGTTTCTCGATGACAGGTCACCTAAGGAAACATTAACAGAAAGAAATTAAAAATTAACAACATGCTAAATAGTTCCATTTCCAGCTCCGAGGCGGACCGGAGGCGACGCTGGACTTGGGTTACAGCACGGCCAGAGGGGAAAGCACTGGCCAAGCTGGAGTCTATGAACAGAAATCCCCAGATTTCTGCAGAAATGGACAATTCCATTGGAACATCCACCTGTCCGCTTTTACATAAAAAGTTCACGTAAAGTGCTGCCTGCTTTTTTTTTGTTATTTACTGTAAAATCCACCTTCAACAGGTACTGGAGTGCGGGGAGGGGAGTGAGTCAAGCTGTGGCTTCTCCAGGAAACCCCCGGGGAAGGCAGGGCACCTCGCCCTGCACCTCGGGGCAGGGAGCTCCCGGCCCTGCCAGCAGCTCCACCAGCCCCAGGGGACTCCACTGCTCCACTGCACTCCCTGTGGCTGCCGGGGCAGGGACGGCACCTCCCAAAAATTCGGGTTTACTGTGTCTGATTCACGTGAGAGCCACATGTGAAAACAGCAGGAGGAAGTGCATCTAAGGCTGATAAGCTGAAGCACCGGGTCCCCTCTGCCTGCAGAGCACAGGCCAGCTCGGTTATAAAGAAACTTAAAAAGCTTAAGGTTATTTGCTTTCTATACACACTTAAAAAGGTGTGTATAGAAAGCAGATTTATATCTATTTTCAGAGAAAAACAACCAAATAAACCAGACTGCGTCACAAGCACAAATGGGAAGAATCGAATGGCTTTGGAGAGAACCTCACTGCAAACCTGGGCTGCAACTAAAACTACTTAAAACCCAGTTTAATTTCAAACAACTCCCAGGGCACTCTGCATTGACCATCTTGAGCAATGCATCATTTTTTGTGAAAGCTCATGAGCAAAGCCTGAGAAAATGACAGCAGGAAAAGCCAGAATTCCTGTCCCCTCCCTTCTCGGTACCAGGGTGTCACAGGCACATTTCACAGGCTCCCCAGGGAAAGCCCATCACACACACACGGGCTCCCACCCTGCCGGCCGGACACTCACCCGCCTGCAAACCGCTCTGCAAAGCGATGATCTTCTGCTGCTGCTGCTCGATGAGATTGGTCAGTGCCTTCACGTGCTTCAGGGTGAGCTCCAGAACCACAGCCTTCTCCAGGTGCCCTAGAGTCTGGGAGCACAGGGACAGGTTGGCACCCGCCGCCGGCTCGGCCAGGCACGCAGGAGCCGCCGGTGCCTCCCCGGGAGCCGCGGGAGGACGGGCACGGTGAGACCCGGAGCAGGCGGGACTACCGCCGGCAGCATTGCACGGAAATAAGTTAAAAAGCCGGCTACGGAAAAGGCTCTCACGGAACCCTGTGGGTACTTTCGGACCAGCCGCATAGCCCGGAGAGAAGCGTTTTATTTCTGGGTCCTGCCGCCCCTGGCGTGACCGGGGCGGCCCGGCCGGGGACAGCTCTCGCCCGGTGTCGGGGGCGGTCCGGCGGGCAGCCGCAGCTCCCGGGGAAGTTTGGGACGCGCTTACAGCCTGCCCGGGCGTGCGGCACCACGGTGGAAAAAAAATAAAAAATAAAAAAAACCCCAAACCCAGCCCAAATCCGCGGTGAAGCGGCAGCAGAGCGCTGGGAGCTCCCCCCGTCCCTCCGCTCGCACCTACCGTCAGCTTGAGGTGCTCGGGCAGCAGGTCCTTCAGCTGCGCGATGCACTCGTTGATCCTGTCGCGCCTCTTCTTCTCGATCAGCCGGTGCGGCAGCTTGTAGGTCTCCTGCGGGGCCGGGGCAGCGGGTCAGCGGGGGGACAGCGGGGGGACAGCGGGGGGACAGCGGGGGNCGGGGGGACAGCGGGGGGACAGCGGGGGGACAGCGGGGGACAGCGGGGGGACAGCGGGGGGACAGCGGGGGACAGCGGGGGGACAGCGGGGGACAGCGGGGGACAGCCCGGCCCGGCCCCGCTGCCGCCGCTCCTCCCGTCCCGAGCGCGCCGGGAGCGGCCGAGCCCCCGCCCCGGGAGCGCTGTCACCGGCCGACTCACCCCGTGAACCCCCAGTTTACCCCGTTAATCCCCAATTTACCTTCTCACCCCTCACTGTACCCCATCACCCCCCATTCACCTTGTTGTCCTCGCTCCTCTTTAAGCCCCTCCGGGGCTTGTACACCTGGTACATGTGCGCGAAGTCCAGCCTGCACGGGCGAAAGGAGAGCAGCGCGTTAGCCCCGCGCCGGAGCCGGCGGCGCCGCTCCCCCCGGAGCCCCCCGAGCCCCCGAGCCCCGCTTACCCGGGCAGGTCTCCGCTCTCCAGGGCGGGCAGCTTGCCCAGGCAGCCGGGCGGGGGCTGCGCGCCGGGGACGCGCTCCATGGCGGGGCCGCGGCGGAGCGGGCTCAGGGGCTGCGGGCGCCGCCGCCGCTGCTCATGCCGCGCCCGCGCCGCGCGGGCTGAGGAGCGGCGGGCGGCCGCGGGCCGGGTTAAATGCGGGCGGGTGGGTGGACGGGAGCGACGCGCGGAGCCCTGTGACCGCCGGCACGTCTGGCGGCCGCGCCCCCGCCGCCGTCACATGAGCCTCACGTGGCGCCGGGCGGGCCGGCTCCGCGCCCCCGCACGTGCGGCGCGGCGCGGCGGGGCCGGGCCGGGCCGGGCCGTGCTGTGCTGTGCCGTGCTGTGCCGGGCAGTGCCGGGCAGTGCCACCGCTGCACTGTGCTGTGCTGTGCTGTGCCATGCCGTGCCACCGCTGCACTGTGCTGTGCCAGCACCGTGCTGTGCCAGCGCCGTGCCGTGCCGTGCCGTGCCGTGCCGTGCCTTGCTGTGCCATACCAGGGCATACACTGCTATACTGTACTGTGCTATACCGTGCCATGCTGTGCCATACCATGCCATGCTACATACCATACCATACCATACCATACCATACCATACCACACCATACCATACCACACCATACCACACCATACCATACCATACCATACCATACCATAC